CCCCCCCAGAGCCAACAGGAGCAGGAGCCCAGGAGAGGGAGGAACGGGCCGCGGGAGCCAGGCAAGGAGGCAGCGAAGGCGGCTGGGGGCTTGCAGAGGCCAGCGGGGAACTGACACAGTGAGGGCCGGCGGAGTGGAGCAAGACCCAGGGCGGGCCGTGTAACCCGAGAGCAGGGGTGTTTTGGGGTACCGGCCCCCCCTGCTACCACTGAGAGGGCGCCTCTCAGTGTCAGGGCCCTGGGTCGGGGTCCGGAGAGAGGGCGGGCCCGGACCCCCCACTCCGCCCGGTGATCCAGAGTCAAGGGATCTTGAGCGCGGCCTAGGGGCAAACAGGAGAGGCGGCGGCCCGGACGGGCGGCCTCGTGACACCATAATACCCACTATTGGGAGTTTACGGTCTGTCACACAGGACATGACAGGTGGACAAACAGGCAAATCAGTGAGTTCTAGTGTGTCAGGCATCTGATTCTATGTATGCATGGGACTGTACGGCAGCACACTCCTTAGCATATCTAGATGTCCATGTGCTGAAGGATATGTTAACTTCCTTTGCACATTGGACCTCTACCCTGCACATATGCCTGTCCCAGTGCCCTAAGTCCTCACTGTGTTTCAGGGTAAGGCAAGGAATTTAAGCACAACTTATTCAAGATGTTTGTTCGTTCAACTGTACACAGACTGTGGGGTATTTTTTGTTTTTCCAGGTTGAAAGATCAAGGATTTGATTTCTGGACACTTATTTGAGGAAGAAGTTTAATTCAGATGTGCTAATAACCCTCACTTTACCATCTAAAAAAAAGTAGTGGAGGATTTGCATTGTTATGTTCAGGAAAGAGGTGAGATTTTTACTGATTAGTATTACATATAACAAATGGCACTTGTGAGTGAAGTTCAGTATAGTCCCAATATAGTGTCAATTTTAAAAGAATAAAGCCCTGAAAAACTAGTTCAATGAAATTTCATCTTACCTCAGGTGCACAAACTTAACACCCAGTTTTGCGCCATTGTTATGGCAGTTACTGCTAGAGCTCAGAATGGGTACGTCTAAACTACAGCCCTCTGTCAGCCGAGGGATGTAAATTAGACACGTCAAAAGTGCAAATTAAGTCGGGATTTAAATATCCCACACTTCATTTGCATAATGGCAGCTGCTGTTTTTTTTGAAACAGGGCTTTTCGAAAAAACCCGGCAGTTTAGATAGAGCATTTTCGACAGAAATGCTCCGTTTTGTAAGATTCTGAAGACACTTTCGATACGTCTAATTTATATCCCTCTGCCGACAGAGGGGTGTAGTTTAGATGCAGCCAATGAGTGAATGTCATCTCAATGAGTGGAATCATCGGATTTGTGCTGTGAGGCAGCGAAAGTTTTTGAGACTTGGCAGGTGTTGCATTGCATAATAGCACATGCATCATATCATAATAATAATGCAGACCAATTCCAAAAACTAATAGCTCCTCAGAAGGATCTTTTTCTATTATTGAAAGTTCAGGTGAAGGCAAATGCTTGACAAATGATACCCCAAAGGGAGGGCCGATGATGAGAAACGAAAGAAAAGGAGAAGGTGGAGCGCATAGACGTCTAGCAAAAGGATTTGTTGCTTTATGCTTCTCAGCAATTTTCTTCAGTGATGTTGGCAGTCAGATCATACATAAAAATGTCCACACTGGGTCAGATCAATGGTCCATCTAGCCCAGTAACCTGCCTCACACAGTATCCAGGGCTAGATGCTTCAGGGGGTGTTAGTAGCACAGGGCAATTTACATCCTGTCCCAGCTTCAGATTAGAGGTTTAGGGAAACCTGGAGCATGTATTTGTGTCCCTGACTGTTTTGGGTAATAGCCTTTTTTTGATTGAATCGATTTCTCTACAATTATTTTTTAAATCCAGTTATACTTTTGGATTCCACAGATTGACTATGTGCGATCAAAAAGTCTTCCTTTTGTCTGCTTTTAAGCAGCTGCCTGTTGTTGAGTGACCCCTAGTTGTTGTGTTATATGAAGGAGTAATTCACGTTTTCCTGTTCACTTTCTTGACACCTTGCAGGATTTTTTTTTTTTTTTTGCACAACAAATTTTCTCCGGCAGTCGCTCAGGGCCGCCAGTTGGTTAGGACCGGCCTGACTCCTTGTGTGAAAATCTGTCCATACCCATAACTGTTTTCATTGCCTATTTCTGCACCTTTTCCAAGTCTCATATCTTTTTTGACATGAAGTGTCCATAAATGCATGTAGGAATTGTAGTGAGAGCTTATCATACATACATTCATTCATTGCATTACATTGCTGACAGGGTTGGGTTAAGAATATGTTTGACAAGAAGGAAGATAGGGTTGTTGGAAAACAAATCAGATGTTGTCTTCATATCTGCATGCCAGCTTTTGTAACCAACTGCTTTTGTATTATGTTTCAGTATTGGCAGTATTCAGAGCAAGATGAGATATATGGATCTTAATATCTCAACACTTCATATCCACGATGTACTCTTCAGAGATCTCTTTTTTTTATAACAGGAAGAGAACTATGAAAGAATCTTCTAAAGCCCGACATTAAGAGCTGTGCACAATGGGCCACACAAAAGCAGAAATGGTGTTTAAGTTAATAAGGAAGCATCTCTGGGGGGTAAAGAATGTTTTTAAATGTATCCTGTAGCCTCAAGGCCAGTGAGATGGTGAGAAGTGAATCTGCATCTTATCATGGGCCCTTAAATTAGCTTGATGCCCTTATTCCACTGCTATCTCCTTATATCTCCAGTTATCTAAATGAGGTATCTCGATGAAAATTACAATACCCATAATCGAAAACCCTTGGGAACAATGAAACACCTTCATTTGTAACTGATTCCATCTACGGCAGTGTTTCTTAAACTTTTTAAGATGGAGAAACACCAAACAATATTTTTTTTAAATGAAGAACACCAAGGATTTTTTGTTGAGCAAAAAAAATAAATAAAAAAAGGTTGGGGAGAAAGCTATTGAACCAAAAAAAAAAAAAAAAAGCTTGCCTGCCCCTTTAAGGGCAGCCACTTTGAACTCTGTTTTTCTCCGAGGCACACATCTGACTGCCTTGTGACACACCAATGTACAGTGGAACACAGTTTAAGAAACACTGATCTTTGTGGAAATGGGTAGAGAGGTGGAATCTTGTTTTTTGCTCTCTGGTCTTATACCCAGAGATCATAGTGTGTCTTGATACCACATGCAAAGGCAAAACTTGACACAGTCCTGAAACTGAACCGTTGTGGGAGCAGTGGAGGTGTAAGCTACACACCCGCACCAGCCTTCCATCTTGCAAGTCTTCCAGTAAACCCTCTTCACTAATCAGCCCCAGCACCCAGCAACCTATCACCTATGCCAGGGTGCTCCAAACTTCCTGTTGTTTTTCCCTGGGTCCAAAATCCCATGAGCTTTTCTATCAGCCAGAGATTGTAGAATATAGTGAGTCACGGGATGATTTTCTGTGCGTTTCAACAGAAATGAATCATAACCACTAATCTGGTTGATGAAGCAAAGGCATAGAAAGACTGAAGAGGCTTTTACAAACCAACATGTTTATAAATTGTAATGTTGTTGTTACTTGTCTTCCTCCAGTGTTTATACTAATAAAAAAGAATTTGCCTCAGGTTCTGTGGTGGGAAGATCAGCAAATTCTCATAAGAGCTCCTGAGCTGCTTCATGGCCAAATTCTATCTGGGATCTGTCAAACCTGTGCTACTGTGCATGATAGATACCGAGGGGTCATTATGTACTAGTGCAAGGCATAGGAGTACTAAAAGTCCATTCGAGATGCAAAAACAAACAATATTTAGGAGTCTGTCAGTTTCCGATACCAAGCAACAGGAATCACGTCTCTATCTAGAAGAAGGAAGCAAGGACACGGGAAAGTGAGGATGGGTTAAAGTCTTGGGTAGTAGTGATGGGAGAGAGGGAACCAAGTAGTAGAAAGGGAAAAAGTTGGCTGGGTCTGAGGTTTTGCATGCAAAACAAAATTGATATTACAGGAGATACGTTTTATTCAGAAAAGAAGCTTAAAGGGAGCACAAGTGAGCTTGATTTAACTCAGCTCTGCATTCCTGAGCAGTGTGTGGAAATTTACATGGATGTTTTGCTGTTTATTTAGAACAGGGGTCTCCAAACTACGGCCCGGGGGCCGGATGCGGCCCGCGAGGCCCTCTCATCCGGCCCGTGGAGACCTTTTTGGATTCAAAGGCAGAAGAAGTGAGATTGTTTCAAAACCCATTTGAAGCAGATGTGGCCAGTTGCCCAGATGAACTGCAGCTGGAAGTCATTGAGTTGCAAGCAAATGACCTCCTTAGGGACAAGTTCAAAATAGGACTGGTGGGTTTTTACCAGTTTTTGCCCAAGGAAGACTTTCCTAATGTCAAAACTTTTGCATCAAGGTACCTTTCAATCTTTGGAACAACATACCTGTGTGAACAAACATTTTCAAGAATGAAATACGTGAAGAACAATTTGAGAACAAACTTGTCCGATGATAATCTCAGGTCACTGTTGATGTTAGGGACAACAAATCTAAAGCCAGAAATGTCTGCTATTTTGGCATCCAGGAAACAATTTCACCATTCACACTAATACAGGTGTTCATGTGTAGTGTATGAATGTGTTATTAAATAACTGAATAAAATAATATTAAATACATAATTAAAAACAACATCCATGTTTTGATTGTTTTTTATTTGGACCTCAAGTGTGTAGTCGGCCCCCGAACTGCTGTTTGATAGTTAATGCGGCCCTCGGGCTGAAAAGTTTGGAGACCCCTGATTTAGAACAAAAGATAGCAAGATGGTGATGTTAAGATAAGACGACTTATCATTTTATTAAAAGAACCATGTAGCCTAGCATTCAATATGAAATTTTGTATCTTTAACAGCATAGGGATTACCTTTCCGGCACCCTGTTTCTAACATTGAAACCAAACGCCCCCCACTAATTTAAGGTTGAGCGGCATCAGGCCCTATTCAGTGTACTTATTTTTGCTGGGCATGTCAACATAATGGTGGCTGAAGAAGCCTAGGAAAATAGACTCAAACCCTTCTACCGTGTGGTCAGTAGGTAAGGAGCATTACAATGGGACAGTGATGCCTGTACAATCTAACATACTCAGGGCAAAAGGCACCTAGCCTGACCCATGGGACTCAGAGAGAGAAACCTGTTCAATTTAAGTATCTACCTTCTCCCATGGATTCAGGGCATATGGGTCTACCAGTGCTTTTACAAGTGAAAGAGCCTTATACAGCTGTGCTCTAAATATCTGTTTATTAGCAACATTCACACAATATGTATGTCAGGCAAATATACTATGCTCATCATTCCCAATAGGCAGACCAATTTCACCCAATGGCATCAGTATCCAATTGTTTGGGGTTTTCACTGTCATTCAGGGTGTGCGATGCCTTAGTTTTCCTATAGAACATAAATGAAAAATAAATTATCTACCTTCTTCTAGTTTATTAAGGCTTTTGTGTTATCTGACACCCCTAAATAACATTTTTAACCATTTACACACTGGCACTTGTGTCCTTACTGCTCAAGGTGGGTTTTTTATTTTATTTTCTCCTTCATGCCCAAATTGTAACTTCTTTGTGACTACCTCTCTGTGAAGATGGTCATTTTAAATTCTCTGCTCAGAGCTTATCTTACCATTTGTTGAGTCTCTGTATCTTCCCTAAAGTTTTTCAGTGCTTGGATGTTTCTAATTTACAACCTTAGGGTATTTCTAGACTACATACCTCTGGCGACAGAGGTATGTAGATTAGACTACCCGGCATAGGAAAATGAAGCGATGATTTAAATAATCGCCGCTTCATTTAAATTTACATGGCTGCCACGCTGAGCCGATCAGCTGTTTGTCAGCTCAGCGTGGTAGTCTGGACGTTCTGCGGTTCACATCAAAGGCATTTATCGACCTCCCAGGTATGCCTCCTGACTACCGCGTCCAGACTACTGCGCTGAGCCGACAAACAGCTGATCGGCTCAGCGTGGCAGCCATGTAAATTTAAATGAAGCGGCGATTATTTAAATCATCAAAACTCTTGTTAGAGGTGTTCCTGAATGGGAGAGGGGGTATTTTAGTAGCAGCCGAACATTCTGTTTTTCAATTTTAGCGGTGAATGCCCTGACCTTCACACAATGCTGGTTTAATATTAGGGTTGGGGAAATTGATTATGTCCCAGGCCTACACCAGAACCACAAGAGTGGAAAAAAAAGGAAAGACCTGCCTTCCAACAGTGGAGGACTGTTTATTTGATCAGCAAATGCCAATGGCTCAAGAAAAGTAAGAAAGTAGAGACCTGAACCCTTGCTTGAGAGAGATTACTGGCTTTGATAATCGCCTTGGTAGACGTACAATCGATCCTGCTGGCCTCCAAATGCATCCTCCTTGATACCTGAGTGACACCCTTCCCCCATCCCCAGCCAGCCTATGGCTCTGTAACCCAGCATGACTCCACTGTGTCTAGCTCTTCCCCACACCCTCCCTGGTCCCCAGTGAATTTTGAATTGTCCTTGTTAGAGAAGAAACAGGTGACTTAGGAGCGGATGGGGAAAACGAAACTATGGCCTTTCTTGCTGTCTCCCATTTCTGCCAGTCGGGCCTTCACTGAATTCTCTGGGACCTGACTGCATTCAAATTTATCCTTGTTGACCCCTGCATGAGCCCGATATGTCCAGCCTTTCTGTCCATGTGCATGTCACCTCCCAGCCCCACCATCATTGACCCAATATGACTGCACTGCGTTGACACTTTCCATCATGCTGGAACACTGATTACATTGACATTTATATGCATTCACGTGCTATGTGTCCTCTCACCTCCAATGTTCCAGGCCTGAGAGTAGCTCCATTGTCCCCAGATTGGTGCTCACTATAGGTCAACCCCAAGTGCTTCCAAAATAACCCCCCTTTGTGCCTGAATGGACCCCCAACTACCTGGTGTCAACACTCAGACTGTGTCTATGCTGGTGCGATCTTGCGCCAAAGCGGCCGCTCTTGCGCAAAAACTTGCTGCCTGTCTACACTGTCCAAGTGTTCTTGTGCAAGTAAATTGACGTTCTATTGTATGAAATCAGGGCTTCTTGTGCAAGAACTATGATGCTCACACTCAGGAATAAGCCCTTTTGCGCAACTGTTCTTGCGCAAGAGGCTAGTGTAGACAGGCAACATGAATTTCTTGTGCAAGAAAGCCCTATGGCTAAAATGGCCATCAGAGCTTTCTTGCACAAGAGAGCGTCTACACTGGCATGGATGCTCTTGTGCAAAAGCACATGCCAATGTAGATGCTCTCTTGCACAGCTACTTTAATGCAAGAACTCTTGCACTAAAGAGTTTTTGTGCAAGATCATGCCAGTGTAGACATAGCCTCAGCCTTCAAATCAAACCACTGTAAGGTCCATGGGGCCCCAGCCTTGGTCCTGTGTCCTCATTCGACCCCTATATATCCAGATTGCTCCCCATTAATCCTTCCATAACCCCATGCTACCGCCAGGCCTATTCTCTGTGACCTCATGTGAACTCTCAGCCTTCAGAGTCAATGTCAATGACCTCTAAATGAGCCCAGCGCTGTATCTATGTCCTCATTTGACCCCAATCCTGCCTAATTGGCCCTCTATGATGCCAAGTTATCACCAAGCCAGCTCTCTGTGACCTAGTATGAAGCCTGTCCCTTCAAATTGAATGTTATGAATTCAGAATGACTCCAGTTGGTCTTGGGGTCCTCATGTGATCCCAATTCTTCCTTATTGACCTCTCTATGACCCCAAGCCTGCTCTCTGTGAACCCTGTGAACCTTCGAATTGAATGGTGTGACCTCAGACTGGCCTTTGTTGATCTTTGTGTCCTCATTTGACCCCCAAGCCTTCCTAATTAACTACTCCATGACCCCTATCGACTGCCAACCCTCCTGTCTATGACCTCAAGTGAACCCTGTGCCTTCAACTTGAATGCCTATGAACTCTGCATTATCCCAACAGTGTTTCTCTGTCCTCATCTGACCCCAATCCTTCCTAATTGACGTCTCCATGACCCCAAGCTACCACCACGCCTGCTCTGTGACCTCGTATGAACCCTCTTGCTTCACATTGAATGTTGCGTAACCCTGCATGACCCCCAGCTGGGTCTCTCTGTCCTTATTTGACCCCCCAACCATTCCTAATTGACCTCTCCATGACCCTTATCCACCGCCAACTCTCCTGAGTGTGACCTCCTATGAACCCTGTGGCTTCAAATTGAACACCTGTGAACTCTGTATGACCCCAACCAGGTCTCTCTGTCCTTATTTGACCGCAATCCTTCCTAATTGACCTCTCCATGACCCCAAGCTACCACCAAGCCTGCTCTGTGACCTCGTATGAACCCTCTTCCTTCACATTGAATGTTGAATGTTCCTTCACATTGAACCCTGCATGACCCCCTGCTGGGTCTCTCTGTCCTTATTTGACCCTAATGCTTCCTAATTGACCTTTCTATGACCCCCAAACTACAACTAGGCCTGCTCTCTGTGACCTCGTGTAAACCCTGTGCTTTCAAATGGAATGTTGTGAACTCGGAATGGCCCCGAGGGGGTTTTTGTGTCCTCATTTGACCCCAATTCTTCCTAATTGACCTCTCCATGACCCCTATCCACCGCCAACCCTCCTGTCTGTGACTTCATATGAACCCTGTGCCTTCAAATTGAATGACTATGAACTCTGCATGACCCCAACAGGAGCGCTCTGTCCTCATTTGACCCCAATTCTTCTTTATTGACCTCTCCATGACCCCAAGCTACCACCAAGAGTGCTCTCTGTGACCTCATTTGACCCTTCTGCCTTCAAATTGAATGGGGTGACCTCAGAATGGCCCTTGTTGGTCTGTGTGTCCTTATTTGACCCCAACCCTTCCTAATTGACCCTTTATATCACCCCTATCCACAACCAACCCTCCTGTGTGTGTCTTCCTATGAACCCTGTGGCTTCAAATTGAATGCCTGTGAACTCTGTACAACCCCAACCAGATCTCTCTGTCCTTATTTGACCCTAATCCTTCCTAATTGACCTTTCCATGACCCCAAACTACAACTAGGCCTGCTCTCTGTGACCTCGTGTGAACCCTGTGCTTTCAAATTGAACGTTGTGAACTCGGAATGGCCCCGGGGGGGGTCTTTGTGTCCTCATTTGACCCCA